TCTCCAGATTATCTCATGTGTAGGTGGGAGTAAACAAAGGATCTCCATGGTGACCATGGGGCCTAATTGGAGATGTCCAGCTGCCTCCCTGGGGATCTGGAGGACAGCCCTGAGGAGGGAAGCGGCCACTCCCCATTCCTCACCCGTGACTCGAACCCACAGCACCGCAGGAGCTGCTGCCCACAGGGAACCACAGCAGGCCCCTTGCTAACCTCAGAACTGGAAGGATGGGGGCAACCCGGGATTCCTGGGCTCTGAGAAAGCTTCAGACCATGAGATGGGAGGGCCCCTGGAGCAGTTAGTCCCTCCTATTCAACCCCCTAAAAAGTCAGGGGCTCAGCACACACACAGCTCAGCTTCCTCTCTTCCAGATGGATGCAGGATGCAGAGAGGAGGCAGAAAGAGGGGGCAGAGGCCAGGATCAAGGCCCTGCCCAAAGGCCCCAACAAGGCTGGCACCAGCTGATGGGGTGAACGGAATAGGAGGTGGGGGGGTACCGTCTGTGTCCATTCCGCTGCTTCCACAAGGAAATAACTTGAAGAGGCCAGCTGGTCCTGACCTCAGTCCCCAGTGCCCGTGTCGGCCTCCCGGCCCAGACTGTGCGGAAGGTACAGGCACCTGCCTGACTTCGCCTGAGTCTCTGCTTGTCCCACCTGCCTCCTTAAAAACTGGGGAGACTTCAGGGACTCAGAGGTGAGGAGAGCTGGTTAAGAGGCAGGTCCTGGAGATCAGCAGACCTGAGATCAAGGACTAACTCTGCTCCTTAGGAGCTGGGGTGGGTGTCTCGGGCTTATTAGGATCTGGCCGCTCTCAGCCTCAGCTCCCCCACCTGTATAAGCAGAGGACCAGAATAAAGAGAGGCCCTCTCTCTTAGGGTGGTGAGGATCCATGGAGACACTCAACACAGGGCCTGGCACTCAGCGTGTGTTCGGTAACAGCAGCATCGCTGTAACTACCGTCACTTCAGGCCCCGTGGATGCCTCTCGTCTGCCTCCCCACTGGCCGATGCCTGTCTGCTCATCCTGTAGCATCCTCGCCGATGCTCAGGGCATACTTAGTGCTCTTGACCATCCTGCAAAATGCCCTCCCATCAACTGTGTTTACTACAAGTCAGTTATGTTTATCCCCAAGTCTTTCTCATGCCAGTTGTGCTTAATATTAGAAATGTGTGATTTAATAAATATAGAAACTAGCAGTTCTCAAACTGTTAGGTAGCCAGACTCCTTTACACTCTTAAAAATTATTGAAGATTCCCAAAGAGCTTTTGTTTATATGGTTCACATCTATCAGCATTTGTTGTTGTTCAGTCGCTCAGTCGTGTCCGACTCTGCAATCCCATGGCCTGCAGAACACCAGGAGAAATTAAGGTTGCAAGACTTTCGAAGCCCATGAATGCACAAGCATGTAGTCCCTCAGCTATTAGAGCGGACTTCAGCCTCTAGAATTCATCATTTGTACTTTCAAGAGGAAATGAGAGGGTAAAGGGTGAATGACGTCTTGGTATGGTCATGAAGAGTCTTAGTTTTGACTGGTGGATCTCTTGAAACAGTCTTGAGGGTCGCCAGCATCCTTGGACCACACCTTGAGGACTGCTGATGTAAACAAATGAAACACGAGTGCAAAATGTGAGTCACTTTCTGAAAACCAGGTCGGAAGGGTTGGTAAGTCCCAGCACACATGAGGGGAGTAACTACATGTACAATGAAAGACTCTGCCTTCCGACGTTTCGCAAGGGCCTTTCAGTTCTCATGCTCCTTTAGAGAACCAAAACCAGAACCCAATGCTGATTCAGCACGATGTGGTTTCGGTCACAAAGATGACCCAAAACTCCAATCTGCAGACTCATATTCGGGCAAAAGGCTTTGGCCCTTATATCAGAAGACAGACACATGAGTGTACTTTAAATATTTTAAGTAAAAATCAAATGTTTAAGAACATGTATGTGGTTAAGAAGGATTTACAGATGCTCTGACAATTCTGACCTCACCCAGCTCATCCTGTCCACCACGGACACAGCTCCAGGCCTCATCCGGGCCTCTGACCTCTGACTTTTGCCCTCTCCCCACCCCCACTTCAGGCAGTCAGTTCAGTTCAGTTCAGTCACTCAGTTGTGTCCGACTCTGCCCCCAATCCCTCCCAGCATCAGGGTCTTTTCCAATGAGTCAACTCTTCGCATGAGGTGGCGAAAGTATTGGAGTTTCATCTTCAGCATCAGTCCTTCCAATGAACACCCAGGTCTGATCTCCTTTAGGATGGACTGGTTGCATCTCCTTGCAGTCCAAGGGACTCTCAAGAGTCTTCTCCAACATCACAGTTCAAAAGCATCAATTTTTCGGCGCTCAGCTTCCTTCACAGTCCAGCTCTCACATCCATACCTGACCACTGGAAAAGCCATAGCAGTCAGGGCCCCATAAATACGTGGTGAAAGAACCAGTGAAGCAATCATTGAATGAACAGACTAGCAGCCTCCCATCCACCCTAATGCCTGGCCCAGAGCCTTGTGCAAAGTAGATGCTCAGAAAACCCTTGCTAAAAAGCTAAATGCGGACTCTGCAGACTTTCTAGCTGTGTGTGTCCCCTTGGTGCCTTTGAGGCCATCAGGCAGGGCTGAGCCCAGGGACAGCCCGTCCACTTGTGTTGTGACTCCGAAGCTCGCACAGCCGGCCCCCCTAAAGTCTGCTTGGCCCTGTGAGTGGGAGGCTTGGCCAGCTCAGGACATGGAGGACTCCTCTGCTGACAGGAGTCTCAGTGGCAAGGCCCTTCTGGCCGAACAAAGCCGTGTCTACTTCCCTTTGTTTTCCCCTAGAAGCTCCGGTCACCACCTAGACCCCTAGATGGGCAGATCTGCAGAAACCTCTGCCCAGAAGACCCAGAAACTGCTGCCCCGTGCCTAAGGGTATCAGAGATGGGGCTGACACATGAAATGCAGACAGGCAGCTGGGGAGGGGAAGGCTGATGAGGGGTAGGGAATGTACGCTGTACATGTACCAGGGTTAAGAGTTTTGACTTGGAAGATATAAAGGAAAACTTCTGAACAGACATTCTGCTCTTTCTTTCCAGAGATCGGAACTGTATGACCTCAGGTAGATGGGGAGCCTCTCTGATCTTCACTTTATACTTTCATGTACCATTACCAGGGCCTGTGGTGTCCACAAGGAGATGGGGTGGACACAACCCCGGCCTTGAACCCAGCTCATCTGGCTCCAGGCCCAGGGCTGGCCCCACGCCCCCTCCCCACACTGTCCTCTTCCAGGGGCCAACTTTGGTGGGTGCAAGTCAGACTGTGCCTTTCAGGGGAAGAACGGTGAAGAAAGATGGCCCATGACTCCAGAAGATGCTGGAAGCCTTCCAGCCTTATTCCCAAAACCCAGGCTTTCTCTGCTCTGGGAGAAGGGAATTTCTTAGGGAAATGAAGGGTGGGGTCCCTGCCACTACCTCAGGGAGGTCTTGGGAAAGTCCTGAGATGTGGGAGGCCCAGGCTCCAGGCCCACCTGCTTTTAGATCTGACCCGGGCCTGACCTTAAAGGGCCCGCTCAGAGCTAGAGGTGGACAGAAAGCCCTGGGAGCCCTGGCGGCCCCCCACACTCGCTGCCCTGCTACCCCCAGCTGGGGTCCTCCACTGTGGGGGCTGAGGCCCCCGTCTACTCTCCTCTGTGCCCGGGACTGGGCACCCACAGAGCTGGGCACCCACAGGGCCAGGCACTCACATGGGACGGACAGACTACTCCTTGCTCTGCCCAAGTGCACGGGTGATGCGCGCAGGTGCAGCTGGTTGGTCCCGACCCCTGGCAGGAGGACCCAGCCACTCCAAGTGGCGGACAAGGGGGAACGACTGTTATTCCTTGGGGGGGCCTCTACAGACGCTGAGGTGCCACCGTCTCCGTCTCTGTGGTGTCCTCGTCACCTGCAGGCTCTCAGGGACAGCCACCTGCAGGCCAAAGAGGCCCAGGACCGCCCAGCCTCCACCCTGCCCACTGGGACCTGTTCTGCAAAGGATGGGCATGGTGAGGGGGCGGGGCCAGGCACCACGAGGGGCGGGGCCAGGCTGATGGGGCGGGGCTTCGGCAGCAAGGACGGAGCCAAAGTCACGGAGTGGAGGCCAGCCTGGGGCCACGAGGCACAGGCGCTGATGGTGAGGTTGGCGGTTGCCTTCCAAAGGCTTCCCTCCTGGAGGCTGGTGGGCCCCTAAGAGCCCCTCGGGGCCAGAAAACATTCTGTTTATGTGGTTTTCAAAAGTGACTCCCATGGAAGCATGACTCACTTCAGAGCAGCTGAGCGTCAGAAACTCAGAAGTGCCTGTATGGCTTCTGCAGGTCCCCCTGGGACCACCGCCAGGCTCACTTGGAAGAAACGTACGAAGGAACCGCTCGCCGTTCGCCCTGTCCCATCCCTCCTCTCACAGGTGCTGCCTGCCTCTCACAGGAAGACCCCCGTCTCAGAATAGACACGTCGGGAAGCTGGGCCTCCCTCTGCTAGGCAGACGCTGCCCACTCAGACCTGTTTGGCTGAAAGGGGCAGGCCACTGGGCACCCCTTGCATCCTCTCACTGCCGACCCACTCACAGGACCACCCCCTGTTGCAGACTGGATAAAGATTCCCAAAGATGCCTACCTCTTAATTCCTGGAACCAAGAGATATGTCATGTTACCTGGGAAAGGGGCTTTGCAGGTGTGACCTGGAGATGGGAAGGAAAGCTGATCCAGCTTTAGCATCCTGTAGCCCAGAGTCCAGGTGGCGCTAGTGGTAAAGAACCCACCTGCCAATGCAGGAGACATAAGAGATGCCGGTTTGATCCCTGGGTGGGGAAGATCCCCTGGAGGAGGGCATGGCGACCCACTCCAGTATTCTTGCCTGGAGAGTCCCCATGGACAGAGGAGCCTGGTGGGCTACAGTCCACGGGATCACAAAGAGTCAGACACGGCTGAAGAGACTGAGCACTCAGTCTGAGCAGAAGTTTACACTCAGATGTAGATGGTCCTCATCAGAATGTTCCCTGAGAGCTAGGTCCCAAGTCGGGGTGGGAGGTGGCCCCACAGCAGTGGGGGTTTTGGACAGGCCCCGGGGAGGGGGTCCTGGGATCCAGCTTCCAGACACACCCATCTACCCCCATCCCCATCTCCCACCTGCCCCTTCTCCTCACGGGCACAGCACCTTCCTCGCAGAGTGAAGTTGTCCCTGGCTTTGCCGTCAAAAGCTGGGGGCCTCCTCGTTGGCAGGCCTGGCCTTGCTACCCCCTCTCCCCTCCCACACACCACCATGGGGGCGAACCCAGGGTGGGTCTTTCCAGAATTCGGGAACCAACCTGGCTCCCCACTGCCTCCAGGAGGGCCCAGACTCACACAACCCCAGACCTGAGATGACCTCATCTCCCTCAGGCTTGCCCTGGCTGCACCGGGGGCCTTGGGTGTCCAGGGACCATGACGCACCCAGTGACACGGGGGACCGCAAACTCACAGCCCCCAGGGGCCAGGCAGGCCTGAGACTTGAGGAAAGCAGTCTGTTGGGAGCAGCAGGACCTTTGATCCCCCAAGCTTCAAACCTGAATGTCTGAAGATGACGTTAGGCCCGTCTGTGGGCGGGGCTGCACCTCGCTGCCCTGACTCACACCCTCCGCCGGCTCCACGCGGGCCCTGGGGACATCCGCATCCTCTCTCTCACCATCACCGCCCATGGCAGGTCCCCTGCGGACAGCGTTCACAGTGCAGCAGGTGAGACGCTGAGCTCCTCCTGTGGTTCCTTCACGCGCCTGGGCTCGGCAGAGACGCTCCCACAGGTGCTGTGACAGCTAAGGAGGAAGGGCGTGCCCTCCGGGGCCCACGTTTAATTACGATCAGTATTAACAAAAGGACAGCACAAGGGTGGTTCATGAACACACCTTAACGCGACAAAGGGGGTACAATTTAATACCATCGGGTGCACAGCTTTGGGGACACAAAGTAATTCAGGTCATGAGAGAGGCTCCGGTTCACTTTGGTTTGGGATGAGGGGCTCGAGGACCACCGCTCAAAACGGCAGCTCTGCCATCACCAGGAGAGGGGCCTCACGAGCAAGAGAGAGCAGAGGAAAGCAAAGGCGAAAGACAGACAGCCCTCCGGAGCAAGGTCCCTGGAGAAACCGGGTTCACGTGGACGGTGCTGATCGGCACCGAAGGATGGGCCTGCGTCTGTAGAAAGATTTGTATAGTAAACCAAATAATATTGGAAATAAGACTTTGGGTGAACACTTCTGTAAGAAGCAGAATTATGCTGCATGTTGTTCACATGCACAGGGGTGCGTAAGCAAAGTCCTTGTGACCACAGTTGGCGCCGAAGAGCAAAACGTGGGCTGAAACTGACAAGCTGTTGAAGAACTGGCAGAGAAACGAACCCATGAAGGGGGCTTGAGTCCAGAGCAGAGAGGGCTGACAGGCAACAGAACTGAAGGGAGCCCACTGAGAAACACACACGCACGCACGCACGCCTGTGCTGCAAATAAACACACACGTACGCACCAGTGACATCTCCCTGCAGAACCTTGTGCTCAGGCCGGGGCTCCTGTGGGCTGCTGCTCTGAATGCCATGGAGAGAGAGGAAGGGGGGGGGGTCTGTTCCTGAAAGTTGGTGTTCAGGACCCAGGCTCCTCCACAGCAGAAACAGCCCGGCCGTGCCTGGGCGAGGCCGCTGCGTGCCTTCGAGTGGACGGAGCATCCCACTTCCGACGGCAGTAGGGATGGGACAGCTGAGTGAGTCCTCAGCCCCATGAGTGGCGGCTGCACGTGGAGGAGTTTGCACTTTCTGACTGGTGGTGTGCCCGGCACCTCGACCTGCAGACCTCTGACTCGCAGAAGCTTCCACTGACAACCGTGTGCAGAGCTTAGCTGGGGGTCCCGCCTGGGGGCTTGTGTGCAAGGGCGGTGTTCAATCTTTCCCATCGCCTCCAAGAAACAGCAAGACCGTCAGCCCATCTGACAGCAAACCGAGCTGCCAAGTGGCCCAGAAAGGTCTGTCAAGGATCTGCTCCCGGCATTCTCATATGGAATCCCAGCACAGCTTGTCCGGCCCTGGCAGAGCTCACGTGCGTGTTTCTGGATCGGAAGCAGGCATTCTGCAGTTTGCTGGGTGAGGAAGGACCTCTGGCCATGTACGGAGGAGACGGTGCTGACAAGCTCACTAGAGAGGAAGCCAGAGCAGTGGAGCCTGTTGCCCCCGGAACTAAAACCTCCCAACTCGGGCAGCTCTCTGAGGCCCTCGGGGGCACAGCCGAGGCCAAGATGCACAGATTTCTCCATCGATTCCTTCAGGGCGCTCAGTCTGGCATTAACAGCGACCATTTCCCTTCCGATTTTTAAATTTTATATCTCCAGTTAGAAATTGAAAAAAAAAAAAGAGAAAAACTCTTGAGAAAACATCTACGTGGACAGAAAAAGAGCTCCAGCCAGTGAAATGCAGAAAGTGGTTTGTTTTAAATACATTCGTTTTCTTTTTAAACATAAGTAAAGTCCACGAGGACAGAAGGGGAGGAGGTCCGAGATAGGAACGTGCTACCCAAAATGGGCTTGTGTCTTTTTCTCTCGTAAACAGTGAGGTTGATGGGGTTAATAGCTGAAGAGACAGACAGAAGGGCTGACTTTGGAGTAAAAGGCGAAAAAAAAAAAATGAAAGAGCCTCCATTCTCTGCCATCATGAGGTTTAGTGACCTAAACAGAGGATTTTGGAGCTGAATGTGTAGTGTGTATCCTGGCCAGCCCCGGGGTGGGGCTGCCAGTGGATCCCGGAATCGTCAAAGCCCAGACTCCGCACCCAGCACCTTCCTGCCCCTCCCGCACCCTGCCCAGCGCCCGCCTGCCTCGTCCCGGAGCCCGGACACTCTCAGAGCAGAAGGGGACCCCTTTCCAAGTGGAATCTCCAACAGCCTCTATCCAGGGCTTGGCGATGGGTCCCTTGCTGGGCTGTGTGACGTCACAAAGGATTTGGAACTGGGTTCCACAAACACAGGCCCGGGGAGGGGGGGTCTCCTCCAGGCTCCGAACGCAAGGGTTCCCCACCAAGAGAGAACTTCAGACCACGGAAGTCATGCCCTGCAGGCGCCGGGAAGCCAGCCTCACGTCTTCCTCCACAAGAAGGCCTCGTCGGCGAGGACCTGTGCCAGCCGGGCGTTGAAAGGCCCGTAGAAGTCCTGCAGAAGCCTCTGGGTGACCGGCAACATGGGCCCCAGATTCCGGTCCTCAGGACGCCGCGTGTTGGACGCCGGGCTCTTGGTCATCAAGGCCTCTTGCTTCTCACTTAAGGGCCCTGGAAAAGGAAAGAGCCTGTAAGGCAAGGTGGTAGGGTGGCGTAAGAAACTCTGATGAGAGAATCCTGGCCATGCTTCCTGGGAAGACAGGAGGTTCCCGTAAGAATGTGTTTGGAGATTCAGATTCTTTGGCTGGATTCACTTGGAGTTCCTGAGGGAGGAAGGTTGAAATTCCAGGAGAGGCTGCATGGTCTGGTGTGTTACCCGCCCCCCCCGGAAGTACAGCTGGGTCTTTGGGCGCAGCCTCGCCTCCTGGGTTCATTTCCAAAGCCCCATAAAGAGGAGCGGCCTGTGCCTGGAGAACTGTGACCTGCCACACGCAGTCCCTGCATGGAGATGCTCTGTAACCGGCCACTCGAGCTCTGCCTCCACCATTTCTATTCCAGGCCGCTTCAGAGGGCCTCGTGGTGGGGCCACATTTCACCCTGTGTGTCCTGCTGTGAAGTCATCATGGGGGGAGGGGTGGGGCCACCTGTGCTCAGGGACCCCCACTGGCTGAACCCCCACCCACAGCAGGGGTGCCCATGGGGAGAGGCCCAGGAACAAGCCAGCAGGTGCTGCCACACAAGGGTGCCGCCTCCACCCCCAGCCCTCAGGACTTTAAGTCTCTCCCTGGCTTAACCTCCAGGATACCTGCTCAGCCTCTGTGCCCCGGGCTCTCAGGGTCAGGCTGAAGTCCTGAGCCCATGCACAAAAAACTACACCCCAGTGTCCCTGGGTTACGTGACAGGGAAGGAACAGACTGGCCTTTGCCATCGTCCATCTTGGGGACCAAAGACAAGTTACTGAAATGTGCCAGAGTCTGCAGGTGGCCCAATCAAAGAAAAACAGTTCCAGGTCTTAAAAGGGAAAAGTATTCACACTCCATCACATTACCAGGTCTCTGAGAAAAGGAGAAAGGAATCAAATGACAAAAGGGTCCTGAGTCCCAGCGGTGAGCAAATGGATTTCAGGAAATATTCAGTTGACAGAATTCCCAGGCAAACTCATCAGACAGGGCTGCAGGGGCGTCTGGGTTGGGGGCGTGGTGGGGGGCGGAGGGGGAATGTGCAAGCCACCAGCCTCTCGAGGGGCCCTGGGTGCCGTCCGCTGGGGAGCACCCTGCACCCGTGTACGCACCTCTACCAGCCGTCACTGGGGCCAACAAGTCGGCCTGCTGCCACGAAGTGCCACTAGGGACTCGAGGGGACGGTCTCCCAAGGCTGGGGGCAGGGTCCCCCACCCTAGAGGCTCAGGAGCCCAAACCCAGCCACACGGCTCTGCCTCCAGGGGTCCCAACAAAGCAATGACCTGTCCATCCCCTCCTCCAGGCCCTGTGGCCTCTGCAAGAGAGCCAGGACACCCTGTCCATCCTCATGGTGCAGCTCACACCACTCCTTCCGAGATCCCTTCAGCAGCTGGGCCCCCCAAGTCACGTGTAAGGATCTCACGTGTATGAGGACGCTAACACTCCTCCCCCGTGTCACCCTGTCAGTCACTCAGCGATTCAAGCCTCACTCCCTCCTCTCCTTCCACTGGACCGTGAGCTCCCAGACGAGTGGCCGTCTCTTCCTCCCCAGAGACCCCCTCCCCACACTGCGCACAAGGCCCTGTCTGGAGCTGGTGCTTCCCAACAGGCGCTAACCCTTGGGTCTCCCAGCCCAGGCCGCCCTCCCAGGCTCACGGAGTCTGCCTGGGACCCGGCAGGTGGGTGTCCATGGAACTCGTGCCCCGCTCTGTGGGTGTCCAGCTCGAGATTCATACCGAGGCTGAGGAACTGGAAGACCCTGTGCATGGTGTCCTTGACATTGGAGGCGTGGTCTTCTAGGCGGAGGATGAGGAACTGCTCCTTGTTAAAGACGGTGAGCCAGTCTAGAAGGTACACGGCGTACAGCCCGACCTGGAGCCTCACCTAGGACCGAGCACGAAGGTCGGCGTTAGTTCAGGGGTGATTCCTCCAACACCGCAGACGCTTTTCTACAGGCATTACACACTATAAACCAACAGCGAGAGGAATCCCAGCAAACTGTGGACCGAAATGCTAGACTGGATGAAGCAAAGCTGGAATCAAGATTATTGGGAGAAATATCAATAACCTCACATATGCAGATGACACCACCCTTATGGCAGAAAGTGAAGAACTAAAGAACCTCTTGATGAAAGTGAAAGGAGAGTAAAAAAGTTGGCTTAATACTCAGCATTCAGAAAACTAAGGTCATGGCATCCAGTCCCATCACTTCAAGGCAAATAGATGGAGAAACAATGGAAACAGTGAGAGACTTACTTTTCTGGGCTCCAAAATCACTGCAGATGGTGACTGCAGCCACAAAACTAAAAGACACTTGTTCCTTGGAAGAAAAGCTATGACCAACCTAGACAGCATATTAAAAAGCAGAGACATTACTTTGCCAACAAAGGTCCATCTAGTCAAAGCTATGGTTTTTCCAGTAGTCATGTATGGATGTGAGAGTTGGACTATAAAGAAAGCTGAGTGCCGAAGAATTGATGCTTTTGAACTGTGGTGTTGGAGAAGACTCTTGAGAGCCACTTGGATTGCAAGGAGATCCAACCAGCCAATCCTAAAGGAAGTAAGTCCTGAATATTCATTGGAAGGACTGATGCTGAAGCTGAAGCTCCAATACTTTGGCCACCTGATGCAAAGAACTGACTCATTGGAAAAGACCCTGATGCTGGGAAAGATTGAAGGCAGGAGAAGAAGGGGATGGCAGAGGATGAGATCATTGGATGGCATCACCGACTCAATGGACATGAGTTTGAATAAGCTCCAGGAGTTGGTGATGGACAGGGAAGCCTGGCGTGTTGCAGACCATGGGGTCACAAAGAGTTGGACACGACTGGGAGACTGAACTGAACTTAAGGACTTTTTCAGTCTTTATTGAATTTGTTACAATACTGCTTCTGTTTTTACATTTTGGCCGAAAGACACGTGAGATCTTAGCTCCCTCATCAGAGATCGAACCTCCACCCTCTGCACTAGAAGGCGAAGTCTTAATCACTGGGCCACCAGGGACATCCCTAGAAGTTGGATTTTAACCACTCATGCTTGCTGCCCCGTGCAGGCCTTTGTGTCCCATGCACAAAGGATTCCCACACTCAGGGTCCCATTTTATCCTTAGAACCACCCTGTAGGTATCTTCACGACATCTCATAGAGAGGACCTGGGTAAAGGGCGAGGCCAAGGTTACCCCCACATTCCGTGGCATGAGATGTCCTTTACACAGGACCCAGCTGCCTCTGCTTCTACGCGTAGTACACAACAGCCGTGAGAAACAGCTGCAAATGCCCCAGCAACCAGCCCCAGGAGGAACCGCCACATGCCAGGCACCACACGGACGTCCGTGACCTTCGCTGTGCGCACGTCCCCGTCTGAGCAGCGCTGTACGAAGCCCTTCCTGCCCAGCTGCACTTCGGGGTCAGTGTCCTTCTGTGCCTTCTCTCGTGCCAAACTCAAGCGTGTGTGGTGGAGCGTTAACCTGACCCACAGAGACGTCTGGCCTTTGTCCTTGGCTCCTGGGAGGCCACCTAAAGCCACCTGGGAAGTCCTGCCTGATGAGAGTATCTCGCTTGCCTGTGTCGGGGGCGGGGGTGGGGCGGGCGGCGGCCTGGCCACTGGATAGTCTAACAGCATGAGTTAGGATGGGGGCTTTGGGCCTCACAGAACCGGTCTAACCTCCAGGAGAGACTGAACGGGTAAAGGTCAGCCAGGCAGGCAGTACGTGATGGAACCTTGAGAAACGCTGCAGACACCAAAGACCTGGGTGGGCGTCCCCGGCTGCAATATGCTGCGTGTACCATCACACGTGCTTCTTGCCTTGGCTGACTTTAATCCGTGTCCCTTCCCTGCTGTAAACCGTAACCACGAGTGTAACAGCCGTGTGCTCTGTGAATCCTTCCAGTGAAATACGGAACCTGATGGTACTTTGGGGGACTTCCCCCAGTTTGCATGTGGTGTCAGCAGAGAGAGTGGTCTTGGAGACTGCTCCGACTTCACAGTTGGCTTCGCAAAGCTCCAGAAAAACAGCAAACCCTTCCCCCTTCTGCTCTGTGGCTCCCCCGCTTCTCCAGCACTCCCACCCGTGCCCCCCACTCAGGGACCCCGCTCTGTGTCCGGCCTCTGGTTGTGCCTTGTCTCTCTGTTCGGGCACGGTCCCAGCCCCCTGCTGCTCCCGCCTCGAGTCTCTGAGGGTGAGCTCCCCGCACGATGCCTGGCCTTGCCTGGCTCTCCTCGTGTGCAAAGTCCTTGGCCTAGCTGGTCCCCCAGCCCACTCCCTCCCACGTGGAGCACCTCCCAGCATCCAGTCCTGGTTCCTGACGCAGACACTTTCACCTCCTACTTCCGCTCCCTCCAAGCTCGACCGTGACCACCTCCAGGGCAGGGACCAGGATCCCAGTCATCATCCCGTCACCCCACATGAGGCTAAGCGCCCTGGCGCTCCCACACAGAACACGGTAATGACCATAAGACGGTGAAACGCTTGACAAAATATGTACAGACACTAACTGGTATCATACCTCACTGTTCTTTTTTCCATTTCATTGTTCTTCTAATTGTGTGGGAGATGGTGGAGGAAGAAAAACAATTGAAGGGGTGGGGAAGCTATCTCCAGAATTCATTAGCTGCCTGCAGCCCTCAGGATGCGGCTACCTCAGACACCAGCTCATAAAAAGACCTCAAGCTGGGCCAGAAATGAAGAGAAAACGGGCACGTGCCAGCCTCAGAAATAAACACATGCGTCACCTCCAAAACAGACAGCCGCTGCGAGCACAGCTTCTTGCTAAGTCATCGAGAGCCTTCCATCCTCTGTCTGTCTGTCTCCCTCCCACAGAGGACCAGCGTGACCAGGTTTATCTCCTCCAGAGAACCTGCCTTCGCTGAGAACCTTCTAGAAGGTTCTAGAAGGTCCTGCCTTTGTGGCAGGACGGGGGTGATTTAAAGTAGCCGCAGTGGTCCCTGGACCGGGGCACGGGACAGCATTTCCCGGAAAGTGCGTCTGTGCCTTCATGGGAGGAGCCCCCTGCACTGGGCCAGGCAGGCCTCCTGCAGCCAAGCCCACCTTCCCAGGAGGGCTGGTCAACAGCAGAGCGACCGTCTGGGGCAAGCAGGGAACAAAGCTGAGGGGGCTCTGCACGGGCAGAGGGCTGGGCAATCCTTCCCGGGCCGCTGGACACTCCTGTCTCACTCCAACCCCTCACCCCCCACTCCCAGCCCCCTCACCAGTCAAGGGAAGCGCCGCTCACCTCAAATGACAGTTTCTGGTTCACGGAGCATCACCGCTAACAAACGTAACACAGGCTCACGCCAGCCCTCCCCTCATCTTTCCCCAGTGCCGATCAGAGAATCAAAGTGGAGTGGGGATAAAAAAGAGTCTTTAGGAGAAGTGCCCAATACGTTTAAAACTTTAAAATGTTAGAGTTGAGAGAAGCCTTTGAGGTTATCTGCTTTAGCCAGCTCTGAGGGAAACACAAGAGGCCCAGGGAGGGCGAGGAGCCTGGCAGGGTCAGTTGGAGAACGCTCACCAGAGCTTGGTCCCGAAGCTGGGCCCTCACCCTGAGGACCCGTCCCCCCACCCCAGGCCGGGAGAGAGCTGAGAAGTGTGGTGCAGGGTCTCCCCCGACAGGAGCACACCGAACCCCTCTGCTGCCTCTGTAACGGCCAACTGTAATCTGGGCTGCAGGGAAACGAATGGCGTGGAAGGAGAAAGAACAGAAGTCAAGATTAAAGCAAGACTCGAAGGATGAGGAGCACGTGCCAGGGAGGGGAGTGGAGAAGGCTCTGGAACCAGGCGTCCCCAAGACACGCGCCCAACACACCCCCTGGAGGGCTGCTGCACAGGCAGATGGATCTGCCCTCGCTCCCCGCAAAGCTCCTGATTCTGGAGTCTGGGGCTCAACCTGAGCGTGTGCATTCCTGACAAGTCCCCAGGGATGCGGATACTCTTGGTCCAGGGACCACACCTGTGAATCCCTGCTCTGAAGCAGGAGGACCCAGCAGGGGAGGGTGAGGTGGTAGAGCAGTGATGGAGAGGGAGGTGGGAGGTGGGGAGCGGGAGGGCAGGCAGGCGGGACGGGCTCCCGGGCTCAGGGGCCAGATTCTGTGTTGATCCTTTGTGTGCATCTTCCCTGCAAAACTACACATGCCAGCAGGGCGGCCTGGGAGCCTACATGTTCCTCTGTGCGTCCTGCTCTTAGGGGAGACCCTGATGGGAACTGCCCGCCCCGGCCAGGCAAGATCGGAGCCACTTGCATGAGATATCTTAACAATAGGTCAGGAACATGTGGTAAGGAATATGGAGCAAACAAGCTACCGCAAACCAGAATAATTCAGGAAGGGTTAAGAAAAGAGGAGATGCCAGTCCATATGTCCTACCAACCTGCCAGAATCCTCCTCGCTGAAATTCATCTTGGCTGAGCCATGCACCCACCAGCAGCTAGGAAGGAGTCAGAGTGATTGGCCAGAGACAACCTGGAAACTAACCCCATCACCACGAGACCTATAACTGTGAGCCACCCGGCGGGGCGGTTCTCCTGGGTTCGCTTACCCTGCTGCTCACCCCAGGGGCACCCCTTCCCGATAAAGTCTCTTGCTTTGTCTGCATGTGTGTCTCCCTGGACATTCATTTCCAAGTGTTAGACGAGAGCCCCCTTCCTGCAACGCTGTCGGATAAGATAGTCTAGACAACAAAGAAAAGAGAGTGAACCTCTTGACTTCGAACCCCATCACACCTGGGGGTTCCCCGGCCTCCACCTCAAGCAGATCTAGCACGTGGCACACTCAGGGGAGCACACCTGCGGCCCACACGCGGGGGCTGAAGGAGCCTCACCACTGTGGCAGACCTGCTAAGAAGGCACCTGGGACCACCCAGGGTGCGGTGCAGTAGGAAACCCTCCCTCAGCTACCCCGTGCCGAACTCACCGGTAACAGCTTCTTATGCATGGGAAAAAGGGGGGGACAAGGCGATCAAACCAGTCAGCCTTGAGGGAAATCAACCCTGAACACTCACTGGAAGGACTGATGCTGAAACTGAGACTCCAATACTTTGGCCACCTGATGCGAAGAGCCGACTCATTGGAAAAGACCCTGATGCTGAGAAAGATTGAGGACAGGAAGAGAAGAGGGCATCAGAGGATGAGATGTTGGATGGCATCACCGACGCAATGGACGTGAACTTGGACAAACTTCGGGAGATGGTGGACAGAGAGGCCTGATTGCAGAGTCAGACACGACTGGGAGACCGAACAGCAACAACAAGAAACGTATAGTTATATTCCTGAAGGCAAATGAGAGCAAAGGGAAGAGGAATCAATGGAAAAATCTTTTCCATTAAGACTCTGTCGGAGAAGCACTGACAGTCACTGGTGGGCAATTTTTTAAACCAACAAAACAATCCAGCATTGGAGAGAACACTCTTAAGACAATCAGAGAGTTGGGTCGTCACGTCTGCCAGTCCTAATTGCAGGGTGTGTTTTCAGAGCCTTGCTAAATAATAATCTTCCTAAATGCACCCTCTTTCTTTCGCAGGGTGGGGGGGGGGGTGAGCATTGCAACTGAGCCATCAGTGAGGAAGAAAGCAGGGTGCCAGCTGAAAGGGCCCATCAGCTTTTATAGTTTTTACATCCATGAATATTTGTTCGGCATTAGCCACCGATCAAAGGCGTGGGGAGAGGCATTTGCACATTAAAACGCTTCTCTGTTTAAATGCTAAAATCCCGATCCACAATGCCCCGGCATAATAACCGCAGAGCAGCCCTTCCGCGTACGCACAGGCATGGCGTTGTTGAGGGTGTTGTTGTAGACGCAGGCTCGCAATGAATAATCCAGCATGCAATTTTCAAACAGCTGCAGAGCTTCTGTCACTTTTTCATGGAAGTCATCTGCAGATTTATTCGAACTTGCAAAGTAGAGATAGTCGGAGTACAACCTGTGAATAAAACAGATGGATCTTTTTACCCCCCAGGAATGTGAAATCGCGCCATTTGCGTGACAATGGAAATCAACTAGCAATTATGTCACCTCGTTCGGTTCATTAAGACACCACCGCTCTCTTCTTCACTAGCCCACGAGCTGCTTCCAACTGCCCCTGACCTGGACGATCTCCCCACCCTTCAAAGGTCCACCCAGGCTCTCCTGGATGCAGGCCCGGTCTACACTGGCCCCAGACAAGCCCCCATTCGTTTTTTCTGTGCTTTCCTTTTTTTTTTTTTTGGTTCTTTCTAGGCACCTTGGGCTGAGGTGGTTTTCACGATGAGTGAACTTTGAAACAACACCAGATTACAAAGACTACAAAAGCAGAGAGGCCATGAAAATTTTATGCCCCTTCCGGTTCCTCTCTCCTCTGTTCGTGGCAACAATAACAGAACAGCTGTTGCTCTGCCAGTATTACAGTTCTGTGTGAGATTCCAGACTCTGAACGTTAAAGCAAAATTATGAAATGTATCTTTCTAGGTTGATAGGAACCTATTTTTAACACAATGTAGACACATCCCCACCCCAGGTCGAATGGCATGCAGACACCAGAAGACCTCCACGTGTGACCACGCACATGGAGCTATTCACCCAGATCCCACGGCATGCGTGTGACACTGTTTTCACACAGGAGCTGACAGTGTCTCTATTTGACCGAATTGTTCTAAGGTTGCCCTGGGCCTTCTTCCCAGCTCAGCCTTGACTTTCAGACTTCCCCTGTCTGTCTCTGCATCCCCGAGTTTTAACAAGCATCCTGCCAGGTTGATTTAGCCATTTAGCCGGACTCTCCCCTTACCCCTGCTGTTTCCTCTTAGTCAGCTTCCCATCCGCCAACCCACATTCTCCTTGGTTACAGATTCCCACCGTTTCTTGCTGTATCTGGAGTTGACCCCAATCTCCTTCCCCTACTGCAAGATCCCACTTCAGCGGTCCCTACACCTATAGCCCTGAATAGCATTCTTTAACAAGAGTCAGAATAACGTTTCTTTCTTTCTTTCTCCACAAATCCTCTGTACCAGAGAGTCCTCTGGTGGCTCAGATAGTTAATGCCAAAGATCTAGGTTCGATCCCTGGGTTGGGAAGATCCCCTGGAGGAGGACACGGCAACCGACTCCAGTATTCTTGCCATGGAGAATCCCATGGACAAGGAAGTCCAGCGGGCTACAGTCCATGGGGTCACAAAGAGTCAGACACGATTGAGTGACTATGCTTTCTCTTTCTGCAAATATATTTTATTGGACGTTAACGCTACAGCTAGATATTTCCTTTGACCACGGGATAATTCTTTTCTTATATCAAATAAACAAAAGAACAGGCTTCCCTGAGGGCTCCGAGGTAAAGAATCTGCCTAACAATGCAGGAGACAAATGTTCAGTTCCTGGTCCGGGAAGATCCCAACATGCCACGGGGCAACTGGGCCGTGCGCCACCGCTCCTGAGCCTGGGCTCTGGAGCCGGGGAGATGCAACTACTGGGCCCACATGCTGCAACTAGTGAAGCCTGTGCACCCCGGGGCCTGAGCTCCGCAGGGAGGGAAGCCACTAGAGGGAGAAGCCCGCACACCCCACCTGGAGAGGAGCGCCCACCTGCCGAAACTAGAGAGAAGTCTGAGCAGCAGCAAAGACCCAGCACAGCCAAAAATAAATAAATAAATAAAATAAAAGTAAAACAAAACAAGTTATAACACTATAATGAGCACACCTCTGTTTTCAAGTCTTCAGCCCCAATTTCCCTGGTGGCCTTTAACTTTTGATCCCCAGGTCCTATACTCTAAGTCATGGTGGGGAGGATGGGTATAGCATTCAATTCATCTGTAAAACAGGAAAACTCCTTGTGCTTTCCTCATGACGAGGTAATCCATATAGACCTCAAGGGTGAGCCTTGTTATCGGTTTCTCATACATCCTTCCAGAAATTTTCAGTGCACATTCAAACATATATCTGCATATTTTATATTTTTTAAAAACATACACATATCAGGTTATACTGGATGGGATCAGATAATATATCTGTTATTATGGCACTTCTCTAATTATTTAACTAGGGAGATTTTGAACATTCATAAAAGTAGGTAAGATAATATATACACTGCAGCCAAACACAAACAGATTCCATTGTTGTAGAGTAAATTTGTTTTTCTTTTTTTTTTTTTTTTGCAGTCCCACGCAGCTTGGAGGCTCTCAGTTCCTCACCCAGGGTTTGAGCCTGGCCACAACAGTGAAAGCCCAGAAACCTAATCACTAGGTCACCAGGGAATGCCCCAGCAATTTTTTGCTTTAATAGAATTTCCAAGTTGAGAGTTTCTACACCTCTTTTCGCCTCTTCTCCTTTTTCTGCTGGCAGAGAGCTTAAGTCTTTACCCTTTTTTTTTTTTTTGGTTTTTCAAAACTTCCCCCTTTGTTTCTGTCTCACGCTGTTTTCAACACACACCTCCTGCCCCCCGCCCCGCCCTGTGCCCAATACCCTTCACGCATACTCAGCCCGGGGCTGCCTGGAAACCAGGCTGATGCAGACTGGCTCCCTGCTTGGTGGTGGCGTGCCTCTGTCCCTCTGGGCTCCATACTTACTATTCTCCCAGTGTCTCCAACCTGGCTTCCCTCTTTCCAGTGAAGGAAACAGCAAACCTTACTGGGGTCCCACAGGTCTGGGGACAGTAGCTGTACACCACTGATCACACCCAGGGCTTCCTTCATGGCCGTTGGCCACCCTCACCACCCCCCGACCCTGCAGGGACAGCAGTGCCCTAGAGGGCACAGGTGGGCTGCAGACACCCCTTCCCCAGCACCTCTCCCCCCTCACTAGTGAAAAGAAAAGAAAGTGAAGTCGTTCAGTCGTGTCTGACTCTTTGTGACACCATGGACTGTAGCCCACCAGGCTCTTCGGTTCATGGGATTTTCCAGGCCAGAATGCTGGAGTGGGTTGCCATTTCCTTCTCCAGGGATCAACCTGCCATTTTCCGACCCAGCGATCGAACCCAGGTCTCCCACATTGTGGGCAGACGCTTTACTGTCTGAGCCACCAGGAAATCCAAAGATTTCCTGACAACCAGAGCAGCTTCTCGGGGACCGGATTATCTTCCCCTTCTGGCGTTTGGTACAGTGCCTTCTGCACGGCTCCTCAGAGATCACCCACTGCCACTGTCCAGAGAGAACACCGCGGAGAAGCAGTGGGGTGTTTGGAACCTGCCCACAGACTGTCTAGAATACATGCACACATGGTGGAGGGAGGGTGCTTGTACGTCTCAGCCTGTTCAGCCACACCTCCAAAAGGCCTTGCTTCAAGACTAGTCCTGAGAGATGCTCAAGCGCTGGCGGGTAGATCTTCCCCAGATCCGTGTTCAGCCACATACAGGACCCCGATGACACCACGTTTGTTGATTACAAGTGGCCCCCACATCAGCTGTGCGGTTTTCCCTCTTCAAACACAGGACCTCCATCAAGACTGAAACACGGCACCTGTCACTGCAGGCTCAGCCGCAGAATAATCTAAGAGCTGATGAATAAATGCCCAAAATCAGATTTGCGTGGAGCTCAAAGTGCAGCTGGGCGGTACACAACTGGGCACCTTGTAGCGAGTCTGTTGGAGGTCCCTCGGGGCTCACACCGTTTCCTATGAGTGCTGCTAATTTACAGCTTTGCCCAAGAAAGATGCCGGAGGGAAGTGACCAACACCTCTGAGACTGTCATCAGAATCCGGACTTTAATAGGAAGCTCAAGTTTAGAGTCGTTAGCAAGGCCTCCCACACAACCATCTAAATTTCGGTTGACAGAACTGGAATTCTATCACATCGACTGCCACCAAAAATCCCAACCCTGGGCTCAGGCTTTCCACGCTGAGTTTATTTTGTGGTAATAACGTTTCTTGTAGACTGGGCGGGGGGGGGGGGGGCTCATAAATAAAACAAGAGTCTCTAAAACCTGGCTTAATTTTAAACACAAAGTAACTTCATGAAGAATCTGCTGACTCCATACAATTCTTTAGAGATCCAGAAGTAACTCTAGCAGACAAACTGGGACATGTCCTCAGGTCCAACTGGGCCAGTCCAGCTCTGCACAAGTGAGAAGACTGATTTCCATCTGCCTGGGGTGCAGTGGAATGAGCTCAGGACCCCACCTTCTGTGAATCAGGTTGGTTCATGGCCCTTAGGCCCAGGCCAGGCCCACTTCCTGGGCAGGGTGAGGGGAGACTTCTCCTTCCCCTTAGTCCCCCAGGGACCCTGGATCTGCACACAGGGTGGGCAGCAGGCTTCTCTGGAGCCCACACACGTGCTGAGATGCATGTCTGTAACAAGTACTTCACACCCTATTTGAGCAGAGTACCTGCCTGCGCCCGTTTGGAGTCTACAGATGTCCTGAAAGATGCCTAACTCCTGACTACAGGTATCTGCAAATGGGATCTTATTTCAGGAATAGGGTCTCTGCTTATGGTGAAGACTGCCAGGTGAGAACGTCTCGGGCTTACGGTGGGCCTGAAATCCAAGGACTAGTGTCCCTGTAAGGGGCGAGGACAGGGCTACACATGGGGAGGAGGCCACATGAAGACAGAGGCAGAAACTCAAGTGTTACCTACAAGATAAGAATGCCAGGATTGCAGAAGCCACTGGAAGCTGGGTGACCAGTGGAACGAACCCTCGCTCAGAACCTCCAGGAGGAACTAAACTGGCCACCTCCTTAACTTCGACCTCTGGCCTCTAGAACAATGAGAGAATAAATGTCTGTTTTTTCAAGCCAGCACATTTGTGATAATTTGTTACAAGAGCCCCCTGAGAAACTAATACAGACCCGAAACCAAATTCCTGAGGAGTCATTTCTGCCAGCACCTCTCTCTCACCCTGAGACCCTTGAAGAGTGACCTGTGTGTGCAGGAGGATGATGGCCGTGTGGCCAGCTCCTCTGCAAAGAAAGAAGGAGGACAAGAAAAACAAGACCCTTACTTCCCCAGAGGGCACTATCTGAGTG